TCGCTTCCGGTAACCAACCCCAGCATTAAGGAACACCCACCCGCCTCTCGAGGAACGAAATCCACAAACAACCCGGATTTCACATCACCACCCTAATCAACCCTTCTTCCTCATCTCCACCTCTCCACCTCCGTCCATCCACATCCCATCTCCATATACAACCTCTCCACCTTCGCCGAATAAGCCCACTTGACACCCGGACGTTTAAACGCCGGAGCATGCTTCATGACGCCACTGACCTCCTGACAGCAGGCACCCGCACAGATGGCCGCACTGGCATAGGCGCCCTGCGCGGTGAGGGGATCGAGAGACGAGGGCTGGGGTTAGTTGCTGTTGTCGGGGATGGGACCGGTACCGGGGAGGAGGGTATATGTGCAGGAGAAGAGGATAAGTGGACAGATGAGGGAGTTGTTGTATATGTGGGAGTAGAAGCGGTGGATGTGATGGAGGCAATAGTAGTAGATTTTAATTTGGGAACGAAAGAAACATTGCTGGTGGGTATACCGGGCAGGGGTGAAGTAGCTGTAACGGCGGTGTTCGTAGACTTGGATGTTGTTGAAACTTGGTTGAATGCAGGTCCATTTCCATTCACCATCGTCGGTGGTACTGAATGCGCCGCCTCCGGAAACGAAGAAGCAGGCGCACTGACAGGCGGGGGAGGTGAGTGGTATTGGTCTTTCTTCCCATTCACTTCTTTGTTTGCATCTCCGTTCACGTGAACCGTGGTCGTTACATTCATCGAGTCTCCATTGCTCAAAGGCGACTTCGCCATCGACGTCGCCTTGCCCGACCCTATTTCATAGCCAGCACCCAACCCCAAACTCGAGCTCGCACACCACGAATTCCTGTTGATCTTCTTCTTCGCATTGCGCGTGCCGAGTTTGCCTGCAGCACGGATGGCTGCGTGTGGATCGAGTGGGGCGGGTGGATGTTCAGAGTAGTGGTGATGGGCATTCGTGGGTTTGTGTCCGTTCGTCTGAGAATGACCATTTCCATTTGCATGCCCACTGGAATGTGCACTGGCATACCCAGTCTCATACGTCCCCGAACTCGAATACCCATTGGTGCTGGTGCTCATGTATCCAGTGCTCCCGCTGCTACTCCCACTTCCTCTTCCATTCACGTTTATCCCATTTCTACCCGCATCCACGTCCCTCTCCCCACTCCCACTTCTTCTCCCACTCGAGCTCCCATTCTCCGACACCGCACGATTACTCGTACTCGCACTCGATTCTGAGGCAGGAGAGAACAAAGAGTTGACAGAGACAATTGACTCGGAGGGTGAGGTGGGTGGCGAGTCGCTGGACGAAGCCGTGGAATGCGTCGAGTTGGTATGTGCATGCGTGCACATCGGATTTGAGTTCGTTTGAGGGAAGGTATGGCTTGAGTTCGAGTAGCTCCCGTTCAAATTCGAATTCGACCTCGAATTCCCATTCAACCCCACACCCGAGGGCTTCCTCCCCATCCCTACTCCCGTCCCCAGCACACACTTCTGCTCCTCTTCCCCCTCCAATCGAGACTCAGCCCCATGCAAGCCCCCAAGACACACCGGCAGCGTCAACGGGAAGGCACCCGTATACCCCTCCAATTGGTTCCTATACCCCAGTTCACCAGGTCTCACATCCACAGGTGAATCTTCCGGATGCCGCAGAGGCGTAGGCGGCGGTGGAGATGTAGTAGCCGCAGACAACTCCTTAACACGCGCTTTCCACCCCACGAGGTTGGATGTGCATTGCTGGTAGTACGGTTCGAGTTCTATTCGTGCACAAGAAATCGAGTTTATAATTGGAAAAGAATATAACGAAAAAGCAATAAACGTACCAGGCACACTGCGCCTCATCACCCCCAATAACGGCTCTACGAACCCTCCAATGAAGAACTCCTGGCCCTTCGCCTCTGCGAGTGGTCCAGCCGAGGTAGGCACGGTCTGTGCGAGTGCAAGTGAGTTCTCGAGCGACGCTTGGGCGGTCCATTCTTGCCCGAGGGCGGTGGCCCAGTATTCGGAGACGGAGAAGGGACGGGACTGTGAAAGGAGGGTAGGTTAGTAGATGTTAAGAAAAGGAAATGAAAAGAGACGAAACATTGGGAGAATAGAAACAGACGACTCACAGGATTACTGATATCCGCACACTTGATCACCGCCTGGCAAATCAGCATCTGGCGTATACACACCGGGTTGGCATCCATCTCCTCTTCTTCATCTTTACCCCCCGTCACACCGGGAATAACCCTCCCAAAGCCCCTCATAAACTCTCCATGCACGCTCATATCCGTCGCCATCACCGTATACCACAGCAACCTCCTAAATCGATAATCATCAAGTAAACGCTCGAAGCCGTGCTGGCGCAACACCCTCATGAGAAGCTGGCAGTGCATCTGCTCGAGGGCAGATTGGTTGTTGAATATCTGGGAGAGCGGGGCGTGGGCGTTTTTCTATTGGATCGGTGTTGTTAGTTAGTATGGTTATGTTATGTTTTGCAATAAAGAATAAAGAAAACGAGAAAGGGTGAAGGGGGAGGAAGAAAGGGCCTAGACGCACCATAAAAGTATTTGTAAACCCGGGATGCCCTACGTCGTGCCCGATCGCGGCGATGTATAACACGAACACATCTTGCAGCTCGAGCGTGCTCATGAGGTCGCCGGGCGTGTCGAATAGGCGCGGTTTGCCGGAAAGGAGGTAGGTTGGGTCTGGAGACCCGTTAGACGCAGTCGTGGGGTTTGGGGAGGAATTGTTAGAGGGGTGCGGTGGGCAAGTGGGCTTGGAAGACGCTTTGGACGTTCGTTTGGGTGGTGTTGGGAAGCTAGGCGAGGAAGGAGAGGAGGGCTTTGACGACTTTGAAGTTTGCTTCCGATTCCAATTCCAATTTGAATTTGATTTCGAAGAAGCGCTGGGCGGTTTTGAAGAGGGCTTTGAAGCAGCAGCAGCAGCAGCGGCGGCGGCGGCGGCTGCAGCCTCACGCGCCTTCCTTTCCATAGCACCCTTCGAGCCCTCGTTGCCCCATTTCCACATCTTCTTCTCTTTCTTGATCCCATTCTCCTTCCCGTTTTGCTCGTCCCACTCATCCCAATTCTCCTCTCCATCACCTCTACCACCACTGAACACGTCTTCTTCAGACGCCGCATACGCCTCGTCGCCTTCGTTGAGCAAGATGCTAAGCGGCGGTACCACCCCAGCAGAGCGCAAGTAACACTGCGTCGCCTGGAGCACATCCAGGGCGTGCTCGAAGTTGTGGTACGAGTTCTCAAGGCGGTAGATCTGTCGAAGGTGTAGGACCACAGAACGGATTTGGTCTGTCGTTGCGAGTAGTTGAGTCCATCGTGGATATAACACGAAAAGAGACAAGGAAGTAAGGAAAGAACGAAGGAAGAAAACATAGATTAGCAACAAGCTCCGCAATAACAAGCAAGTGTACTCACGCATCTGAATGCCAACAGCCTCTTGCAGTCCCTCGATCCTAAAGAGGGCCTCGAACAAGAGGAGGGTACATGCGAGGATCTCGTCAGGACAGAGCTTGTGGGGCTCGAAGTGCCAGGAGTCGAGGGCGCGGATGAGGCGGGTGCGGGTTGAGCGCGAGATGGGAGGTGGAGTACTATAGGGGGCATCAGTTAGGTGTAGAAGGGTGACGGGGAAGGAGGGAGACGAGGGAGGAGGAGAGATGACGGGAGAGGGAAGGGGACGGGTGGGAGGGATGGATGATGAGAGACGACACTCACAATATCTCACAATGCTCGTTTACAGCATTCGACGTCTGGTTATACATATCGCTCAATAATTCTGCGAATCGTGTTCTATGCCTTCATTAGCACAACAAGTCCTCCGATATACCGTACGACGTGGAAACTGGGACTCACTGAACCTCGCCCTCACTATCCATCCACCCCTGGCCTTGGCCGCTACCCATCGCAGCGAGATGTAGCCCGCCCACGTCGGCACTGCGTCGTCGCCATTGGCGCATGGCTGCTGTTGGGGAGTTGGGGGCGTCGTGCACGACACCGCACATGCACATCACCATATCGGTCTGGGTGGTGGTATGGGTTGGTGAGAGCGTCGTTGAGCTTAGTTGGCTGGTGTGCTAGCGCAGGGTAGTAGTAGCAGTCTCCTTCGCCGTTGAGAGTAATGTGTAGTAGAAAGCAGAAAGAGAGAGAAATGTGCCTGGTCAGAGTAGGTGTGAGAGAGAGATGTGCGGTCTTCTTGTTTAGTTGGACCTGGCAGATTCGTTCTCGGAGTCTCTTCTTCAACTACTCGCCCACGATTCGACTGCCAATCGCATGCCAAGCACTTTCCCACGTGCAGAGTTCCGCGTGGTGGTTGGGACCCCGGAAGTACCTCTACGATTTTATCATTTCACAGTGCACTAATATCGAGTTATTTTCGTGCATGAGCTCTCCCATCACTCCGCCGTTCACTCATCCACCTCTACCGGATGCACTCCTCCTAATCCACCTACCAGCCCACCATCCAACCCACCCAGCGCACCCGACACATTCCCGGTCCTCCGAACCTTTTCCGTGCCTGACCTATCCCTCCATCATCATCTCTCTGACGGCTCACCTAAAATGAATTCCATCGTCGGACGTCTTTGTACTTTCATTCGATCGCTCATTGCACGCGGACGATTTTTGATCCTTTGCACGCGCAGGCCTGGGCGTCATATCGCTAAAGTTTAAGTTGACGATCACTTTCTGAAATCCTTGTATAGATATTTACATTCTGGATGTCCTTGTATTTCATCCCCATTCACACTTGTTACTTTCTTCAGTCAAAACGTGCCCCCCTCGACTTACGGTGTTTAACCACCCCCTCCGAGTCCCTGAGCGGGCTTCACTTTGCGTATTATATTTATAATTTCAAGGTGCCTAGATGGCTCTGGAGCTTTTAGAGCCATAGCTACCATATCTAAAGAGTACCACTTATCCGATAACACGCTCAGAAAAATAAATATACCTTCCAGTCCCTCTAACCCCTACGAATAAATACCAACAACAGCCCTCAAAAATAACGTCACCTGAGCGATTCGAACACTCGCGGGCAAAGCCCAACCGCTTTATCATCTATCGAGTGGTGATAGCAGGCGATCCCGTTAACCACTCCGGCAAAGTGACTTATAAAGATGCTTGATGTTTACTCTTGATAATACCATGCTCTCCTAGTTCTCCAAATGGACCCAGATAGCACCCTTACGACCATCATCACCCTACTGCACCCTTCATCCTTGCTTGAAGCCCCTTGCTTCCTCCCCTTGAAGCCCTTTCATCTTATAGATCCCTCGACTTGTTCCGTCAACCACCTGGCATCATCCATCCCTTCCTCTCCCTTGCTTCTCCTCTTCACTCTTCTTCCCTTCAACTCGAACATGGAGGGACCCCGGTCTCCCGCCACGCTACCTGCTATTCCCCGCAACACGCTTCCCCGGACGCTCTAGAGTCTACATCCAACCACGCGATGGAAAATTACATGCCAGACAAAATACCCCCGCGCACGCGAGCACGCTATGGTGTATTTAATTACGGAAAGGTGGGGAAACACACGCGAGGGCGGGGTTTTTCAATTCCTGGCTTCCCGCGACGGCGCCAGGTGCCGGGCGCGCGTCAACCTTCTTGACTTTTCGTCGGGGCGGATCTCCCGGGCCAATTCCCGTGCTCTCAATTCCCGTGTTCTTCCTTCTCACCAGTCAAAAATTTTAGGGTTATCGTTGAAGCAGGAGAAGGTTCAACCGTCTAAACGTCTTTTGTTGCCAGCTCTATTCGTACCGCTCTGGATCTCTCTGCGTTCTCTTCTCTGCATACCATTCTGCCTGGAAACTCTACAAACCTTGGAATTAACCGGGACTCAGTACTCTCAAGGGAGATTATGCTGCTTTTACCTCAAAAGTGGAGTCCATGGAATACAACCTTTTCCAGATGCTATTCGATTCCACGGTCAACGCGCAGGTCGTCCAAATTTCGTAAATATTTCAATTATACATGTGCAGTAACATACCTCCCTAGCCTCCAGTGAATCAAGTCGGACATTCAGCGCTCTCGTGTCTCGAAGCAGTTTACGCTGCTTTCACAGTGGAGCATGTAATACAAAAACACAATATACTCTCCCAGACGTCATTCAATTCCACGGTCAAGGCGCACATCGTCCAAATTGTTCGGTGGCACCTAATTATGCCGGCATCCTCGACCTCGGGGATGTAAGCATTTGAAAACCGAGGAACTTAAAAATGTGGATGAGCTCTATGTTCTGCAACGGCTATTTCTACCACCAAAATGACGTCATACACCTTCGTTGAGGTGATATCACCTTACCTACTTGGTTATCAAGTTAGCCTCGGTGTTCATGCGATAAGTACTGTGGGGTGGCTTCCCATTGACACTCTCCCATCGGCCAGCCGAACTGGGGTCGCACAACCTCCCCGTCGTTCAAATATAAAATACAAAATGCAAAGTGTTAAACTCAAAAGGCAAAGCGCATTCCACGGTCAAGACGCGCGACCGCGTGTGGCGATCTACACTCTGATGCGTTGCTGTCAATCGTTGAATTCCGGTATCACCATCGAGGAAATTTCAGGCTCTCAATCGAGTCTCAGCTATAGGCAGTCCTGGCGACGGCCCAGCAACGGCAGGATCACTTGCACTGTTCAATATAAAAATTTGAGCACGACATTTAATTAGAAATGACACTTCAAAACACGCCGATGGAAATTTATTTAATTGATTACACTACCAACGGCCAACGCACAGGTGAGTTCAGCTACTTTCTATAATAGTAGCTTTAAATTCTATTATGTGCCTATTATTTAATTATGAACCGGCAAGGATCAGTGTGCTAGCATTTATGTACGTATGAGCGACCCGCTGCTTTTTTTCTCCGAGCCTTGCTCTTTTCGAGACTAAAATTTGCTTTGTTCCTATCAACCTCGGAATATTATTCACATTCATCAAAAAATTATACAGCAGCAGAGTCATCATCATAATACCGATCCCTTTAATAGACGAATGGATGATGGGGTCCTCGAGAAGTGAAGATCTTTGTTAGCCAAGCAGAATTGACTGCAAGATTTAAATAGCAAAAACGCGTCTTGATCAAAGTACAGAGCAGAGTCATGATCGGAACATCGTTCTCCTCGGCCAAATAGTGATGATATCACCTGTGGGCGTTGGTGTTTCTGAACACTCTAAATAAATACTGATGGTGTGTCAATGCAAGTAATACTTAGAATTCTGATCAGAATCATCGCCCACAATCCAAGCTATCAGGATTCATGGCAGAATCAATAGTACCGTTAGTCTATCACCGGTATATGATTCTTTCAAGATGCAAGCGATAATCGATTATCAACCCGGAGTAATCTAATGTGCGCTATCTAAACATGCTGTGAATTCAAGATAGTACTTTGTCTTCTACTATCTACCCGGTAGCCCCCAGATACCGCTCCTTGATGATCTATCAATAGTTGTTATGAATAGCCTCTTCATCGTCTCCATCTCAGCGTCAATTTGCTTGAAGTAAGGAGGTATTAGGGATTAGCGGGCTAATCAGCGCTTGGATATTCCCTCTGGCTATTGTATCAATAGATAGTATCATATCACTGTTTATATTACAGGCTATCTAATCATGTCATGTCATGTTATTGCGAAGATCATCGAAAGCGAGTATGAGTTGACGTGATAACTTGTTTGTTCCTGGATCTCCTGGGATGTCTTGAATAGATTTTGATACAAGGATTCAATGGTGTCATATTCTCCACGAAGCAGGATGGATGTTCACTCCCGCTCTCCGCGGCTATTACTTATCTGTCTACTTGTTCTCTTGACTGTATAGTTCAGGTATCATCTACTCAGAGGCTATTTATAGATTTGGGTTTGAACTATACAGGCCTGAGTACGCGAACTTTTTATTGCTACCTATCTCTAACGACAATACCGACACGATAGGTTTATAGATACTGAAATTTACCTCATAACGTCGCCGCAGCAGCCTAAGTTGAACCTCCCCGCTGCGTGAGAAGTCACCATTATATAGTACAGTGGAGCTGCGCTCAATAAGCTCTTTCTTGACCACACGAAGTGATTGGATTCCAACCTAAACGCCACAACGCATGACAACGGGACCGTAGGTATCTTTCTATTTCTTCTACGTGTATTTATGTATCTACGATGACATTACAGAGGTCCTTAAACCAACTGAATGCTGTGAAAGTCTCTGTGAGATGTGAATTCGAAGGTGCCTCAATTTTGATCGCCGCGACGTCTTTCAAGATCGTTCACTCGAGACGCTAGCCTAGGTTCCGTGCTCGGAGAGTATTGAAGGAGCGGAACCGACGGGTCGGCGAACTTCACGCGCTCATTTCCTCCGTTGCCCGTGTTCACATACCGAGGTACCTTTATAACCACGTGCATCGATCTGAATGTTACACGGCGCGTGTTGCACGTGTGTGGTGCTATGATAGCTGGACCGGCGGCATTAATCGTATATTGAACATAGACTAAGCGTATGTTCTTCGAAATACCTAGACCTTTTAGTATGACTGTAGATTCAAGCTTCGAAATTTCCTAGTTGGACCAACAAAGTGGCCTGGACCCAGCCTCGGCCTAAACCATCTTCCCCTATACACAGAGCTCCCAGAATCTATTTTTTCCGTGTCGCATATCCTTGTATGCAAGCGAAGCTTCTTCTCCGAGGAACACCCTGGTTCCGGTTTAATTTTGGACGACTGTGATCGCTTGGCTATAAATAGAGGGAAGAATTATCCCGATCAGGTGGAGCGGAGCTGCGGCACGAGTCCCGGAGCCGATAATGATACGAGGGACGGAGGAAACGACGGAGTGGTTGCTCTTTGGGTGGCGATGGGAACTTGCCTGAGCAGCGAGGGTGTGTAAGTAGAGATTAGAAGAAGCAGCGAGCTTGCGAAAGAAATTTTGAAGTAAACTATCCCATTGAAGTGGGAGCAGTGGCGCGAATATGCCTCATAGATATTCATTCAACTAACTCGATAGTAATTGGTGAGAGAATAAAGCTCATTCAGACTAAGAAAACCCCAATCAAGTACTAATATCTATTGGAACTCAATACCTGTCGCGTACTATCTATGAAGCGAAATGAGTTCGATAAGATTAAACTTTGAGGATAGCATCACATAATTTACTTCCTCCGACGGTGACGACGCGAAACGGAACATTTAGGAAATTAAACCCGGTTCCTAGACTCCATAGTCTGCTGCTACTACCAGTTGCCATCCGTTGAGCTCTGACCCTCCGATATTCTGTCCTGTTGTTCTGTGGACGTCGATTTGCCTGCGCTATGGTCTCCCTCCGCTCACTTCTATTTGCCCTGGAGATTATCAAGTGCATGTATTAGTTGCATTCCGAGTCGGATTTTGACTTTCGTTGCTCTTGATAGAGCATACAGTGCTTGGGTATGTACAGGAAGTATTGCATGTACTATAGCAGTGTCAATGGTCCTGCTTCATTTTTGTAAACGAGCCGAAATAGCATTCACCGCCATAGAGACTTAAAATAACAACATATCGACACAAATAGAATGGGGGTGATACTCTATTAAATAAGAAAACAAAGAAAGAAAGGCTTATAAACGCAATTTTTGTGTTAGAAAGTTGGCTGTTCAAATGAGCGAGCAGAACAAGAGTTTCCGTTTTTATTTTATTTACAAGATCTGGTTTTTAAACATATCGAATACTCCGTCAGCGTGTGCAACGCAGTTAGTTCTACTTCCCAAATCTGCGGTACAAAGATTCGGCTAGAATTATCCATAAACAGTACCGTACATACTACTTTAAGACCTATCACCGTCCAAAAGTTAAAGGAAAGTGCACTTAGGATATTGAGAAATCACACTAAAATATTAACGTTCTCGCAGCACTTATACTCAGTGTAGTTTTTTAATGAAACTGCGCATCCTCTCCTGCTGCTCCACCCAAGCTTGCAGGATATCTCCATCCTATGATTTGCGGCAGCAATAATGCTGCAATGCGTAGTAGCGTTTGTGAAATCAGAAATCGAACTAGAACATGAAAGGCGAAAGACAACCGCCTCGCACAGCGCCCATAATAGCCTGAGGCTAGAGTGAAATATATCAAACAATGACCCATTAAGAA